AGCTTTTCACTGTATCGGTTAAGCGCTGCTTGGATTTGGATTATTAGTTATAGAAACTTACCAGTTAGGAAGAAGCACAAATGAATATCACAAGTTTAAAATAGGCCAACCAACAACATGCAAAACAAAACCAAAAAAACATCATAGTGCATAAGTAAAATCCCTAGAGAGTAAATCCCTAAATCTGTAAAGTCTAACAGAACCTCAGAGTGAGCCACGCAAGCATCCGTGGCTCTGCCTCTTCCGGCTGGGGCAGGACAGTGAGTGAAAAGGGAGGCCCGACAAGTGCAGTGTCTCACCTGGAGGCAGGGAGGCTGGTGGCTTTCAGATGCCTTGCTGTCCTGCCTGGGAGAGGCAGGGACAGGCAACGACTGCATCCTCTGAGCTAGGTGGAGGAGCAGGAGATTTTAAAATCATTGCTGAAGGAACTAAATACGTACAAAACCCAAGCAGACAAGTGCGCTTTAGACACCTTGTGAGCACACCCTCCACTGTGAATAAAGCATTTATAACACTGGACTAGGAGAGTCCTCAGCAGGAGGAAGTGTGCAGAGTTATACAAATGGAGAAATCTGGAAAGATGAGAAAAATGAACGAAGGTCCGTCGGGTTCCACCACGATGACAGCACAGGAAAGGAGAATGGTGGTGGCTCTTAGGTGCCCTTTGCCATCTAACCCAAGGATTGCAGCAAGGTCACTGTTGGCATGGGAAGGGGAGAGGAGCAGACGGGTGCATCTGTGTGACTTCAGCCTTTCTAGAAAACCGCCAGAGTCTGTCATGGGTCTTAAAAATGTGCTTGCTGAATGAAATCCATATCCACGCGTTAAGGCTGGTGTAAGTAAGTCCATCCAGAACTAGGATAAATGCTGATCTGAGTGGGTGGAAGGCATCTTGTCAGAAGACTTCTACTAACTTACAGGGTGGTAGGCCCACAATGGAGAGGCCTGGGAGGTGCCACCCTCAACCACAGTCGTCCCCATGAGGAGCCACGACTGCCCTGGGCCTCGGAGCTTCCGTCATCTCCTGGGACCACACTCACTCCACCAAGGCGTAACCCGCAGTTAGGTAAAGCAGCAGCTAACCTCGGCAAATCCAAAGCAAGGGCTGTGCTGCGCAGCACGGGCGTGGGCTTGAAGACAGAAGGACTGAGGTTGGAGGAGACTCACGAGACTTGACAGCACAAAGAGGAGTCATAGATCTTGGTCCAAGAAAAGACAGTAGCAGAGACCTGGAGATGTGTGTGTGAGGCCCGTAGACGGGGTGGTAGTGGCATCCGGGTTGGTTTCCTGCTTTTGTATTCACTTTGGGAAAGATGAGTGAAAGGTAGAAATCATTTGCATAGTTTTGCAACTCTTTGTGAAATTATTTTGGAATACGCAGATTGTTTTAAAGACAGTAAACATTGTTGACTTTTTTTTAATATTCAGATGAAAATCAATACCTCAGAAAACTCAGGGACTCCCTTATGGCCTGATGCTTCTTCCGATGGAGCTGTCCGAGATAATGTTCTGCAGCTTAGAAATGAAATTCAAGTTTTGCAACAACAGAATGAGGTAATCAGGAAGAGTCCTGTGTTTGAGAATTTTCATGACCTTATGAAATCCAAAGGACTTGTTAGACTTTCCAGAGATAAAGGGGCGGTGGGTGTTAGTAGGCAGGTATGTCAGGAGTCAGTTACTGCATCCGTTCCTTCTCGTCAGCCAGTGTTTCTGGGGGGCAGTCCCACTGGAGGGTTAGCGTGACTCCTGTCTCCTTTCTGTAGAGCAGCACGGCCCATTGCGATGTTCTTTCTTTCCTCCTTAGCCAGGCTTGACCAATATGTGAAATCTTGCTTAAAGGGTTACTAAAGATTACGTTATTCAAAGAGTTATCTTAGTAACTCTTCTCTGGTTAATACTTCTCTGGTTAAATATTTGCATTCTATATATTTCAAAGCAAATACAAATTTTTAACTGTGGCTCCTGTGAGAAAGCCATGTATCAAGGAAAGCTGTGTTCTTACCAAGGCATGGGAAAGTTTTGTTTTGCAGAGATATAAAAATGAGATTATAAGGAAAGTCGTAGGCCAGAGGTGTCAAGCTTGAGGATGTTAAAAAAGACAAGATTGATCAGCCAAAATCTTTATGTCCTCTGAATATTCTTTTGTGCCTAGGAACTTAAAGAAGCCAAAGAAAAGCTGAGAAATGCAAACCAGGATTTGTGTAATCAAATGAGACAGATGGTGCAGGATTTTGACCGTGATAAGCAGGAAGTTGTGGATAGGTGAGATCCCCATCGATACCTAGTGCCTGTCTTCTGGGTACCCCCCCTTCAAGACCCCTCCCCTCCAAAAACGTTTTTATTTTTATTTATTTTAGGGAAGGGTCTACAGAGTGTTCAGGGTCTCACTACTGGTTAGGACTCGTAGTGATCCACCTGTTTATAGCCTCCCAAGAGCTGGGATTACAGGCGTGCACCACCACACCCAGTCTCAATTGCTGTCTCAGTGCGCCCCTGGGGGTGAGGCTGGCATGGCCAAAAAATTTTTTTTAAATGATGGATGAAGTAAACTTTCCCTATTGAGATCTTGGATTGGCAGAGATAAATGCCAATCTCGTGAGACTTCGGAACACGCTTTCCATAGAAACAGTATTATGTAGTAGTCTGGGTTCTAGAGCATCATCAGAACTGGTTCACTGAAGTATTGCACCTTAGGGTTTTTGTTTGTTTGTTTAAAAGCTAGTCTGGGAAATTATTCATTATAAAGAAGGTATCTGTGGGAGGTAATATGTCTTCTAAATACCAAATCATAAATTTGGAAACAGACTTCTGGGACATAACTTACTTGTGAGTTGGATACTGTTGGTATTTGTGTTGAATGCATATGACTTGGAATTTTAGAACCACAGTCCATTATTTCAGATGATTTATCCACAGATGTCCTTAACATAGGCTACCTGCCATCTCTGTATGAAAGAGTAAAACATTCTCACATCCAAATTTCTAATTTTTCTTTGGAAACATCTGAAGAAAAAAAGTTGGAGATTCTCATAACACTGTTGGTTGTGAATGAATTGTTACCATTTCTAGTTGGGGAAAAGGAATCCTGTCTTAATTTGCATTAGAGGAAATAGATGGGAAGGAAGGCGGGCAGGCGGGCAGGCGGGTGGGCAAGCACGTTGTTGTAGCCTCTCCTAGTGCCACTCTCCTTGCTAGGTGCGAGAGGACCTACCAGCAGCACCACGAGGCCATGAAAGCCCAGATCCGCGAGAGCCTGTCAGCGAGGCATGCTTTGGAGAAGCAGCAGCTGTTTGAGGCTTACGAGGGAGCGAACTCGCAGCTCCGGTGAGAACAGAGGCTTCGCTGCCCCGAGCCGCCAGAGGCTTTGGCCCCCAGTCCGCGTTTGGAGGGAAATGGTTGGGGCCCTTTTGTTCCTGTGGGGTCACTCAGCTGCTGGTTTTGTGCACCCCAGGTCTGACCTGAATAAGACGAGCAAGGAGCTGGTCGCTGCACAGGAATGTTACCTGCAGGTGTGCAGGGAAAAGGACCACCTGGAGGCGGCGCTCAGGAAGGCCGTGGGGCAGGAGCAGGAGGCGCAGGAGCAGAAGGTACGCGAGGGCGGGGCTGATTCGAACTGCTGCCCTCCTTGGGCCTCGGGGTGGCACTTAAACTATGACCCTTGGGCTGGGAAGGGGAGGGCTGCAGAGTGTCTACATGTGGCTGATGGCTCACACTAAGCAGTGTAGTCCATGATGTGAGGGGATCATTTTACCTTATTTTTAAAAATATTTATTTATTTAGAGATAGAGTTTCACCATATATTCCAGGCTGGCCTTGAACTCACTATGTAGTCCAGGCTAGCTTGGAACTCATGATGATCCTCCTACCTTAGCCTCCCAAGGGCTGGGATTAAAGGTATGTACCACCAGGTCTGGCTGGAAATCATTTTAAAAGTGGCATGGATGTAGGATGAAGGGTGTTCCCTTTAGGCTTCTTGTAGAAGGTCAGAGAGAGTGGACCTGAGTCTCTCACCTGCTGACTGCAGGATTCCTGGGCTGGCCGATTCCTCAGACCCCTCTCTCAGTCGCTTTGTCTCACACAGGGCTGTCGTGCTCTGAGGCTTGGAGGGCCAGGCTGGGGTGTCCTGCTGCCTCCGTCAGAGCAGCTGGAGGGGCGGCAGGAGGTCCCTGAGCCCTCCAGATTCCTCTGGCGACCCTCGGGGAGCACCCGGGGGTGAAGTCACCGTCGTGGTCACCAGTCCTTTCCCAGTTCCTGTCCTGGCGAGGGGCCTCCCAGGCTCCCAGCTGTAGACCTGTGTGGAAGCTGCCTGCCTCTATATTAGAAAAGCTCTTTAAGGCTCCCACAGATGTTCTCTGTGGAGGTTTTGAATTAATTATGTTAAATACGGGAATTGCTACCACAGACTTTAAAAGTTTGTCATTGAATATTTTGATTATTTTTAATGGATTAACCTGGTGGGAAAACATGTCATGCATATGTATCAGTTAGGGGAAAAAGCACTTCTAAAGGGAGCCGTTTTAGTTAGTGTTGACAGTATAAAAGTTAAAAGGGACCTTAAGTTACCTAGAAATTGAGTTTAGCTTCCAGTAATGTCTTAAAAGTGGAAGTGGGAGAGCTCTAGTGTGGTTCTGCTTTTAAAAATATCTAAGTTGGCGAAAACGTGAGAGCAGTTCTCTCCGAGGTTGTCCTTTTCAGGATTTGTTTTAAAACAATCAGTTTGACTGTAAGATCAGATCTACTCTCTTGTAACTAACAGCTGCTACTGACTGATAATTTGGCTTGCAAATGTTTGTGCATTAATTCAGTAAAGGAAGTTAAAACTGCTGTTTGGCTCCTAAAAACCTTTAATTAGGTTAATATTTTTCTTCAGAAAACTTAAATTATTATGCAGTAAAAATTATCTTTTTCTCATCAGATATATAGTTGTATAGACTTTTAAAACAGGTGTCTGCTCATCAGGATTCTTAAAACCTCCTTCTGCTATCCTTTTTGTAGCTTTAACTGACCCTCACGTAAGGGATTGAAAGCAGAAGTTTAATTTCTTCCTTCTTTCAGAATCTTCTAGGATTTTTTTTTTTTTTTTTACTTAGACTTGTATAATCCCTTAGCAATCTCTTAGCCATTCAGAATGGGACACCATCACATTTGAGAGACTAATCTTTTCATACCCTGAAAAGCTAGCAGAGCAGGAGTGGCTGGCTTCCTGGACATATCTTCCAGGGACACAGTGCTAGCATCGCACCAAACTCCCAAGCAGGCCCAGAAGGGACCTGTGGGGTGGCCTTCCCTTTGAGGGGACCTGTGAGGGTGGCCCTCCCTGAGAGGGGCCCAGCAGGGTGGGTTTTCCTGTGAGCTGCACCCTTTGCGGTGGCCGGGCTGAGAGAGGGGACTGCATCTGAGTGCCATGTCCCGGGCCCGCAGGCTGCAGGGGTCCTGGATGCGCTGTCCCGAGTCAGGAACGCTCGGGGCGTGGGAGCTGGCTTCTGCCTCACACCGCCTTCCCTCACGTGTGAGCTTGGTGCCTTCAGGGAAAGGGGAAGACGAGGGGAGAAAAGAAACTCGCGCCAATCCCTTTGGACTGGGTCGTAGTCTGTGAGCTGTGTGCCTGCTGATGAGACAGGGAGGCCCATTCTGCACACACGGAGAGACGTCCCACTTACAGCCCGAGCTCAGCAAGTCCTCGGAAGCGGGAGCGCTGTTCTTTCGGTTATTTGTCTGTCTATGCAATGTACAAGTTTAATTTTTTTTTTTTTAACTTGCAGACCTTAGTATTTTATAAAGATACTTACTTAAATTTTGTTTAAAGAGGCAGCTGTTGGAAGAAAAAGAACATATAAGCAACCTTCAGGTGGAACTGGAAGAAAAGTATCAAGAAGCGCTTGCCATGGAAAGAAACAAGTGGCTGGAAGAGCAAGAAACTGACGTTAAACAGCGGGTGGAAAACGAAGTGATGTTAGCCAGAGCGCGCTGGGACGAGGAGCAGAAGGAGGTGTGTGCTCTCGCTGCCGTCTGTGTTCAATAGCGAGTAGAGGTAGCCACGGAGGACCACTGCTCCTGAGCAGGCAGCAGTAGTTGTCGAGGACCTAAGCCGTCAGCCGTCCGCTCAGTCGTGCTTCAGGACTGGGCTCTCCACAGCTGCTGTACCAGTTTCATTTTCTAAAATTACCCCCTCTTGACTCTTCATCCAAATTCAGGATATAACAGTTTTGGGAGTACTTCTTTGATGCCTAGAAAGGAAACCCTAAGTCTCACTTCATATTACAAAATGATTCTGGCAACTCTAGAGTCATGTCTATAATTAACCCATAAATAATCCACGCAGTAGATTAGCAGGAAAGCACACAGGCTCGGAAGCACAGAGCTAGTTTCTGCTGCCTAAGGAGCGAGTGAGAGGACGAGTGCTCGTGGTGTCCTAGGAAGTGGAGCCCCAGATTATGACCTTGAAATGAGAAGACTCTCAGCCCTATTTAAAATAGGTTCTGCTTTCCACAGGAGTGGTATCAATGTTAACCTGGTAGCCAGGGAAACTGTGAGGGCCCTGGAAAAAAAAAAAGCAGGCAGATTTTGCTACTTCACAGTTAGGCCTGAAACAGTGATTAGATCTGTCCCAGTGCACTGCTGCAAGTGGGCAAGTCATCAAGACGTGCTTCCAGGAAGGCCTGTCCTAAGGGCAGACTGTTCAGTAAACGTTAACACCATGAACGGAAGAGTCTCTTCTGCTGAACTGAAGTGGAACTATTTTTCTAGATCATTCGATTTCAGGTTCAATGTTTACTCAGTGCCTGGTTTGTGGAAAGTGCTATATTGATGGCAAAATGCAAATGAAATACAGGTTAATAGTGAAAGTGTTTTATGCCATCTTTGTAGTGGTTGCGCAGAAAGTTAAATAGTGTCAGCAAGAGAGGCTGACTGTACCCAATGTAATTAAATCTTCCATATGATTTTTTTCCCCCAGTAAAAGCACAAAGTAACTTTCAAGTTTTACTTGGAAATATATTTTCATTGACTAAATCTGCGCCCGGGCCTACATGGGTTTCAGCACAGCTGTGCTTCCGCTTCTGTCTCGCTATAATTCTAGTTTGTACTTGTTTGAATGTTTTTCTTCTCAGACGCTTTTTCTTCTGAAAACAGATCAAACGGAAACTAGTTCAACAGCTGGAAGGGGAGTGGCAGGCGAGGCTGGATGAGACGCAAAAGGCATCGTCGGGAAAGACGACCTCAGACTGCGGCAGCCAAACTGACTGCACCGCCGCCCTGGACGTCGAGTGCAAGGCCGAGGTGGCGGCAGCTACAGGAGAAGAGCAGCAGCGCCAGGTACAGCGAGACCTGGGGCGCGAGAAGGAAGCGGCCATGCGGGGGGCTCTGAAGAAGCTTGAGATCGACCTGGAGCTCAAGTACTGCCAGAACATTACCAGACAGGTAACAGACGCAGGAGAGCCAAGGTGTTAGGACGGCCCCGTGCTGGAAATCCGTTAGCTTTACACTTTTAAAAGTTTGTGCAGGTCTAGAGTACAAAACCTGTTCTAAGGGGCTGGGGAGATAGCTCAGTAGAATAAGCACTTGGTCCTGAGTTCAATCTCTGGTACCGCCAAAAAAGCCAAAACCAACCAAACAAAAAAACCCCAAGCAAACCCATTCCATTGTTCTTGAAGTTTTCTTCATAAGAAAACTTTCTGCCATGAAGCCGTGGCCCCCTCAGTCTTTCTGTACATTTTTTCAGTGGACAGATTATCTTTTGTTTTGAGATGGAAGCATCAAGGTGGCTGGGGTTAAGGTGGCTTCACTTCTGAAAGAAGTACAGTTTAATTAGGAGTCCTTTTCATCTAATATTTTAGAAAATATTCTAGGTTAAAGTAGTTATAGCTGGGCATGGAATATATGGCACCGTTTTTGTGCTGAGACCCGTGTGTGCGGGAGCTGCAGGGGTGCCCGCCCTGGGCCTGGGTTGCAGTCCCATCAGCCACCACAGTGCAGGCCTGGCCCTCTGTCTGAACCTCCCACAAGTCAGCTTTTAACTGGGGCAAGTAGCTTCACGTCCAGGAAACCTTGGAAAGGGGCGTGTAGGGATGAGTGATCATTTGTTAGATCTGTCCGCGCTGTCACAGATTTCTGACTGTTTTTAGTTTGGGGACTCTCTACTTTGAAACCTCGGGACTGTCAGCTTTGTGTCAGGATTGTTTCTATTCGCAATACTGGAAATCAGATCTGAGAAATCAAAACACAAAAACCAAAAACCAGCAATCCTTCACTTGGCTGTCAAAGCACTGGTGTCGACAACATGGACCATGACTGCTGCAGAACTGTGCTGCTCTGTAGGCTGATGGGAGTGAAGCGAGCAGGGCCTTAAATTACCTTGAAAGCAGTTTTGACCCCACAGGCCCTCCTCCCTCCATCGTAGACACTTCCTTCTCGTTGGGACACAGTCCCTGACATCCATAATTGATTTAGTTTTTTGATACAGGGTCTCGCTGTGCAGCTCCGACTCGCAGTGATCCTCCAGGTTCCCCCCCCCCCCACACTGGGATTACACGCGTGCGCCACCATGCCCAGTTCCTGACACTGTAATTTAGAGCAGGAGAGCTTTACTTCAGCTCCTGGTTTCACAAGTTCCAATCCGTGGTCAGCTGGCTCAGGTGCAGGAACTGCATGGTAGCAGGCCCCGGTGAGGGCAGTTGCTCAGGGCGTGGCAGCTGGAAGCAGAGGGGGAGGGGCGAGTCCTTGTGGGTGGCAGCCCCAGTGTCCCGCCTCTTCAGAGCAGGCTCCCGCAACCGCACCAGATCCAGGCACCTCCCCCCACAGGAGGCTTTGGGTCTGTTAAAGCCAGACTGTGATGGTGCCTGACAGTCTAGCCTGCAAGAGATCCCCGAACCTCGATGTAGCTACTATATTTATTACTTCTTAAACTAAATAATCCTGAAATAAGATTTTTAAAGACATACTTAGCTTTTGATAAGTATGGGAAATTCTGCTTATTGTTGTATTGCTCTATTGGATTTTCCGCGGCATTCTTAAAGTCTAGAAAGAGTAAATACACATTAGACTTAAGAGTATTGGGCTAGTTCAGTGAAACCAATTTGTTTGTCTCAAGAACACAAGCTCTCCAGTAGCCTTCGGCATAAAGTGCAGCCGCCGCCAGCGCATCATCGCGTCAGCTGGGTGCAGGCAGTAGCGATCTCGCACGTGTCAGAAAAGTGGGGGTGCGCTCTCAGCGGAGCCGGGAGGCCTGGTGCAGCAGTGCTGTAGAAAGCGCTCGTCAGGGATCGCGACACAAGCCAGATGGAATCCGGACGTGATCTTAGCAAGCCAGTGGAGCGTCCGTTCTGTATTCTTTCCCATGCCCTTGCTGGCATGCTAGCAGCTTCCGTGGAGCCGTCAGGACGCGGCGGTCACGCCGCCGGTGCTGCGCTGCTTTGAATGTGCGGTTTCGCCTCTCTAATGAAGGAGCTTCAGCAGGTCACTGCCAGGGACCAGCGAGGCTACAGTACCACTGAGGTTCACAGAACCACGGACCTGCTTGACTCTGTGTAAGTCACTGGAAATCCTGACTGCCCTTCACAGTGAAGCTGGCCCTCCCGGAGATGCTGCCCTGGCTGCCGCCTCTGCAGCACACATCGTGGAGGACAGAAGGGCAAAGTATGTAGTGAAGAAACTGACAGGCAGGGGCATTAAACACAGAGCAATTGCAGAGCCAAGAGAAACAGTGGTCAGGGCTGGCCTGATAGCTCAGTGGACTAAAGCTCCTGCTGAGGCAGATGCAGGGACCGGGTTCGATCCCTGGCATGCTGTGCTGGCCCCATCCCTGGGGAGCGCTGAGCGGGAGTGGCAGCACACCTGTAATCTCATCTCTTGGGAGGCTGAAAACAGGAGGAGCACGAGGAGTTGGATCTGTGTAGTGAGACCCTGTATGTAGACCCTGTACTAAATACATCAAAAGAGTGGTAATGATCAGTAATTATTCTATCGTTTCCTGTGCTTTGCAAGTACACACACATCTTCCTTGAAAGATATGTGCACTCATATGATATGTAGTGCTACATATCAAAAAGTTTTAAAGGTAACATCGCCCCTGAGGAGTTTGTATCTGAGAATTTATTTAGCTCCAGAGGTGTTCATGTTTTTACCACCCAAGGCGCTGTTGGAAGACAGCAGTCCGCTGCAGCATGCCCTGACAGACTTTGCTGGCCCCTGGGCACGGTGGTCCCGCTTGTGTCGTGTGTGACCGACAGCTCTCCAGGGCCATCCTCCAAGGCACTCCCTTCTGTGTCGTCACGGGCAGCCATATAGTTTTTCTATATTGAGGCAAATATTGCATATTTTGCTTCACTGTCTGAACAGTGTCAGCTTGTTTTTCCCCAGTATCAGACATTCTAGGAATAGTACATATTTCAAAGCTACCTGTTTCTTTGTGGATGCTGTTATCTGTACAGCATGATGAGTGAATGGCCTAGGATCAGAGGCGTGTTGCTTAGCAACCATGCAGCAGCACTATGGTCTGCAACTAGTCGTTCTAGGAACTGGTTGCTAAAGGACAAGTCTATCCATTGCACATTACAGAATTTAGAACCAAGAAGCGAGCAGAGGAAACTCCAACTTGATGACTTTACTTTTATTCCATGACCCTTACGAGCAGTACTGTAACATGTAGCAGAACACAAAACTGTAGTGCTATTGCACATGGTATAATCAGCTAAGTTACAGCATTAAATAAGCAAGGAGTGCTGTATTTTTTAAAAGCCACTGAAGCTTTATCAACAAGTTGGACAGAACTGTCCTAAAAAAAAAGATGGATTGAAAGTCTGAATGGTGGGTCATAAATCTAGACAGCCGCTAACCAGGTAGGTTGTTAAGTGAGGGAAATCTGAACAGTATTGGGCTATATTCCATCAGCTATAACATGGTTTTCTGCAACATTTACTAAGAAAATGTTCTGTAGAAAAATAAGTGCTGGGGCCAGGGAGATGGCTCAGTAGAATAAGCATTTCCCTGGCAAGTGCAAGGGCCTGAGTTCAATCCCCGGTTCTGCAAAAAAAAAAGAAAAGAAAAAGAAATGTTTATAGGTGTGCCTTGGTTCCTTTTCTCATTGCTGAGACAAAATACCCAACTCCCAAAGTGAAAGGGGGAAAGGTTTATTTAGCTCGCACTTTGTACAGGTTTCGGTACAGTTGGCTGGCTTTGAGGCAGGTGTCACAGGGCAGGAGTTCAATAGTCCAGGGCAGCAAGGCAGTGTGGCCTGAGCCGCTGGATCGGGGGGTGTCAGTCCAGTCAGGAAACTGGCCCAGCAGTCACCCTTCCTCCCAGCCCCCGTAATCCCAGCCTTGCACCATGAGTCAGCCTCACACTAGAGTCAGCCACCTCTGAAAAGACCCTGTGACTGCACGAGGCTCTAGGGGGACATCTAGACGCGAAGTGTAACAGGTGCTGCTTTGGTCTTTGTGGAGTCTTAGATCTTCTGAGGCAAAACCGTAGCGTATAATAGCATAAATGAGATGTCTCAATAACATTTTTAAGGAATATAGATTTTTATAAATACTTTGTTTTCTCTATATTTTTAATTCCTTGGAGTTTACACGTGGTTATATTTGTGCTTCACTGAGGAATACGGCCCCATACTGCTCTGCTTTCATTTGTATGAATACTTGTGTGTATTTATCCATGTTTTAAAAGAAAGGGATAAGAAAGTTATTTTATGAATGATATGCTAATAACCCAATCACCTTAATTATTTATTTTTTCCCTGAATTGAGGTCTCTGCTTCATTCTTTTATATAAACTTTTTTAAAAAATTTAAGAAATTTTTTATTTGTATCGTGATTGAACCCAGGGACTTGACTTCCCCAGGCCTTTGGTTGCTTTTTATTTTGAGACAGGCATTCATTAAATCACCAAGTTGCTCAGACTGGGCTGAAACTTGGAATCCTCCTGCCTCAGCTTCCCAGAATTCAGGATCACAAGCACATTTCCCCACGCCGATTGTACAGACTAACTCCTGCCAGTAGGAAAACGCCAGGCGTAAGGCTGTCCACGTCACTGGTGTGTGTGGGGGGCAGTGACTGAACAGCAGGCATCGGCAGCCCTGGTGAGCTGTCCTCGTCCTCAGGATAGATAGAGCTTCCTTGGAAACGGCGACTGGTACTTGGTGGGAAGGAGTCTGAGGTGGCAGTGTTGTTTCTCACACGTGTGAATTCTTACTTCCTGTTTTGGCCTTTGCATGGCACAGTGTGAGGCCTCCGAGAGGAACGATTGGAATCTGCGGTGGGGAAAGGCGAGCGCATGGAGTCAGGGTGAGCGCAGTCTCGCGGGCTGTGCTGCGTAACCGTGGCTGCTGTTTGCAGACAAGGTCTCCCTGCAGCTGCACACCCCTCCATCTCGTCGTTGTCGCGTCCTGCAGGTGGAAGCGGCTGTGCAAAGTGCGCGTCGTCGGTGGCTGGAGGAGCTGCCGGAGCTCGCCGAGTACAAGACTCGCCTGAGAGCTGAGCGCCAGAAGTGGGAGGAGCAGCAGGAGGCCGCCGTGGCCACGCGGGTGAGTGTGGCCCTGGGGAGCAGCACGAGGAGGTCGCGGCCCCCTCCTTCCTCAGCCGGCTTTCGTGTTGCTGAGACATAGCACCTGACACTGTCCTGGGGACAGGTTTTTCTTTGGCTCAGGGTTTCAGAGGACTTAGTCTGTGGTCCGAAGGATCATGGTGGAAGGGAGAGGTGGAGCCAGAGATAGCAGGGCTGGGCCAGATGCTGATCCCAGGCCGCAGCTCCAGGCACTCGCAGGCACACCCATGAGTGTGCTCCTCCAGTCCCAAGCAAACTCTGAAGCTCCAACTGTCATCAGCCCCATACCTGCATCTGGGAATCTGTACCTGCTCATAGAGTTGGTGAGGGCTTAAGACAGTATGTCCTAACCGTTAGCTAAGGCCTGGCAGTCATCAAGGTGTGAAGGAAGAAATGGTTATTTCAGCATCTTAAAACTCTCATGAGGAGGAAGACAATCTTGACTTAGAGATTAATTTGCATTCCATCTTTGGGTGAGATTGGCAACAGGCAGTTCTCTAGTCGCTGTGCAGTGTGCTCATGCATGTGAAGAGTCCCTGTGCTGTGTCAGCGACCTTTCCCACACACACTCTCCGTGCGTCACCAGCTCTGCTTTCCAGAGATGTCGTGTTCCTTGAAAGGAGAACTTCCATGTCATAGCTGTGTGTAGTCTTCCAACCTAATTTACTGGCTTAAAGCAGTTCTAACCCAAATGCCAACAAACTGAAAATAGTTTTAAAATTTGACATGAAAGTTCTAAAATTTATTTGGAAAAATAAAGAGACTAGGATTTTTTTAGTGGTCTAGAGGAGGAGTCCTAGCCCAGCTTCCACACAGACTATGCTGGCGAACAACTCAGACAGCGCTGAGTCATAGAGTAGAGTTGTGTTTAGTTTAGTGCAGTGCAGACATCAGAGGGGCCCAGCTGTGAATAAAAATTTAAGTGAATTGTTTGAGAAAAGAAGAAAATTTTCCATCATAAGTAGCCTTGTTCTAGCCTGGTGTCAATTTGAAGAAGTTATGTTTACCATCCCATGCATCACAATAAGCTCGGGGTTGGTGGAGTGAAGCACTTACAAGTGTAAAAAAGGAGGAAAATTTAAAAGTTAAATATTTCAGATATTTATGACAACGCATTTTTGAGGCAATGAAAACAATGGCAAAAATAAAATAGGTGTAAAACATTTTTGTATTTTTAATAAGGTGAAATTAAGAGAAGTGTTAACACTGATGTATGATAGTGAGCTTGTAGAGATTTGTAAGCAACGTGAGTCTGTGGCCAAGTCTAAGTACAGAGCGGATGATCTTCAGTCTAAGTAGCTCCACAGAGGAAATTCACACCTCTGCGTGTCAGGGGAAGAGAGCGAAGCAGGCCCCGGGCGCCTTCTGGGCCTACTGCGTCGATCCTCCCTTCTGAGTTCACACAGAGTGCAGCGGATTGCAGTCGAGGGTGCAGCCCTGAGCCTGGGCCACTGTCACTTGGAGGAGAATTTGGTGTGTATCCCAAGACTCAGGCCTTTTGTGCATCATCCTCTCTACAGAGTCCGTCAGGAAAAGCCAGCTTCTTGAGCTTGGAAGGGGTTACACTGGTGCCGCGGTTCCCCCACCGTGGTACCCGATGGAGTCTTCCAAGGATCCTTAAAGGTCCTGTGGCCTGGCACCACCCTCAGATGGCATTGTGAGTGGTGTGGGTTGGGTGTCAGTGTTGTTTTAGTGCTTGCTCCTCAGGAGTTTGTAATGTACAGTGAAGTTCAGGAGCCATTGATGAGTCCCGACCCATTCTGTAGAGCTTTCCTCCAAAGGTACTTTTGGTAAGGCCAGATTCCGTGGGATCCATTCGCCGCCTCTACCTCCACACAGGCCACCTGGCAGGGTCTCCTAGGCCTCCACCGCAGGGTGAGCTGTTTTCTGTCAAAACATCATGTAAGTGTGTTTCAGGTCTCGGCAGAGTTAGTAAACCAGCCGCAGAGAGATTTGCGGTGAAGTCCGTGATGAAGATAGTCCACGGGGCACTCTTGCAGTAGGACATTTGCTACGTAACGTCCCCCTCCTCGTCCCGCGCCTTGGCGTGGTATTAGTCACAGTCACCACTGTGTAGATCAGGACAGTGAAGATGCTCAGATCTGCCCGTTGATGCTGTGTGTCCTGGTAACTCTGGTCACCGTCAGGGGAAATTAGAGGTAAAAGGGACTCAAGCTAAGACATCATCCACTGCTTATTATGTGGGTGAAGATAGGAAGAGCCGAGGTCTTAGGGCACTTTTGAAAGGCTGCACATCCGGAGTAGTAAAGGCTGAGTAACGTTTGAGCCCTCCTGATTGTCTGGCTCTGGGCTGAGTACTTTAGTTGGATGGCTGTCCATTCTGCTAATTAGCATGTGATTGTCCCCAGCTACACGGAGGAGAGCACTGGGCCTGAGGAAGTAGAGGACCAGCCAGCAGGAGGCCGCTGCTGCGGAAGCCCCACCGTTGGCTCCGGAGCCCGCGTTCCTCCTCCGCCCTTGTGCTGGGACTAGAGCCAGAGCCCAGACTTTTTGATAACCCTATTACTTTTTGATTATGGACTGTGATATTATATGCTTGTCATTCTGTTATAAAAATGAGATGAATGAAAAATGACTTTCTAGTTGGTCATTTAATGAACTGACTCAGCCACTAAAATTGCATTACTGATCAGTAAGTCGGATTTCCTTAGGAGACTGCTTTTGCTTTAAGTAAAAAGTACTTAATTTGTGGAGGGCCTTGGATAAAATTTGAGACTATACCTGTATTTAAAATGCTAATATATAAAATATTTTTCTGAAAATAGTGTTAGAAACTACTACAAAGACAACAATATGCAATGTATTAATTATTGTAACTGTCCTACTAACCTGTTTTGAAACTCTCATTGCTACTTCTTTCTCAATAAAATTTAAAAACAATGAAAATAGTTTTAGAGATACTACATACGTGTGCGTGTGTGTATGTATGTATACATCTTTATCAAATATATATGCCATCTTCAACTTCTGGTCCCCTATCAGGAAACGGATGTTTTAAAAAAACATTGTAATTAAAACTATTAGACGATTTAGAATGAAGATTTCTGTGAGTGTAGGGTGTAGGTACTGTATTTTATAGAATTATAGTATATCTACACTTCTTCCCTTTCACTGGACTGCAGATCTTCCGTTACTTAGTTTGATTTTGGTCCCAACAAGGAGGATCATGTGCTCTTCTAAAATGCCTGTCGCTGTGTCCTTTAGCTCTCGTGTGCGGTGTCGGAAGCTAAAGAGAAGTGGAGACGCGAGCTGGAGGACGCGAAGAAGGGCGGGGCTCCCGGGCAGGAGCTGGAGGAGCGGGTCCGAGCCCTCCAGAAGGAGCTGGAGCTGAAGGATGAGGAGCTCCCCGTGGCCGTCAGGGCCGAGCTGGCGAAGGCGCGCAGCGAGTGGAACAGAGAGAAGCAACAAGAAATCCGCAGACTTCAGGAGCAGAACGAGCAAGACTACCGGCAGTTTTTAGACGATCATCGGAACAAAATTAGTGAGGTACTTGCAGCAGCTAAAGAGGACTTTGTGAAACAAAAAGCTGAGCTGCTTTTGCAGAAGGAGACAGAGGTGCAAGCCTGTCTAGACCAAAGCCGGAGGGAGTGGACGGTGCAGGAAGCCAAGCGGACGCAACTCGAGATCCACCGGTACGAGGAGGACCTCCTGATGGCCCTCGGCCACCTCCTGCGGGCCACTCCGGAGGAGGGCGCGCGCGGGCCGGAGGACAGGCAGCTAGTGGGCATCCTGTCGGCTTGTTCTTCCAAGTGGGTGTCTGTGCAGTATTTTGAGAAACTGAAGGCCTGCGTACAGAAAGCCCTGCAAGATAGGCCCTGCTTATCTACGGAAGATGCAGGGCCGGAGCAGGAGAAGGTACGTTCTGTCGAGCGGCATCCGGACAATTGTCAGAGATGCCGTGATGTTTTTCTTCTTTCTTCCTTTTACTGTTTAATAGTTGTAAGACTTGGTATTTTTACCAGTGGTTTAAAAATGTTTTGTAGCCAATCCAAAGGATTGCATGTTTTCGTGCCAAAGAGACTTCACTGCTTCACACTACTGCAGGTGGGAGGCAGAGCTTTTGCCTCTGACTGCCTTTTTTTTTTTTTTTAAGAAAAACAGCCTGAGATTTCAGAAGTGAGTAATGCTCATGCTTAAAAAACTTGTGAAGCACTTATAAGCCCATGTTTGCCCTCAGTGAACTTACAGTTTGTGTAGGCAGAACAGGCTAAACAAAGACAAAAAGTATTGAGCAGAAGCAAGCACGCGGGGGTGCGGCCGGCTCAGGCAGAGCCCTCAGGCCCAGCCCTGCTGGTGCAGCGTGGGTGTGCATGTGGGTGTGCATGTGGGTGTGCGTGTGGGATGAGTCCCTGCGCTGTCTCGCTTTCTGAGCCCAGCTTGTAGCTTGTATGGAAGATGAGGTAAAGGCCAAGTCCAGCTACTGTGTGATTCAAGAAATTCGGCATGCAGCAGAGGCCCAGGGTGACGCTCTGGGGCTCATAATTGGCCAGTTTTGACTTTTGGAATCAGAGGTGGAAGAAATGCCAGTATTAGGAGGTTTATCTGAGAGAAGAGTTGAGATAAGAGCTAGCGTCTGTCAGCCTGTCAGGCCTCAAGGCCAGAATGGACATTTGCCATTAGTGCCAAGGGCTGAAATCTGAGTCCCAGCACTTGGCGATGACTGCTTAGTACTTTGGGTAAACTTATGAAGTTGCCCATTTGAAAAAGGAAATGCAACCCCCTGCTGAATTCCGTAGAGATGGTAGGACATACTTAGGACGCATGGGCTCTGCTTCCTGCATAGGAAGCAGCAGGGAGGCGCCAGTCCTGCCCGGTGGATACGTTGCCCTTGAATTCATAGTGTGACTGAGGAGCAGTGGCCTTTGATAGAAAAGTGGTTGCAAGACGGTGCCCACGGGCAGTGCTTAGTATTTCATTTGGAGGAAATAAGTGGCAGAAACAAGAAACATTATTTATAGCCAGGTTTAGGATGAGAGCAGGTGAGAAAATTATATTAGCACTTTTGCGTTTGCCGCCCTACAGAGACGTTCCTGCTTTACAAGTCAGCAGCGTCAGCGCCTCTGTCCTGCCATTTTCCGGCCACACGGAGAATGTTCTGGGCTTTCAGAATGTTCTGGACTTTGTATTAATCAACCCTGGAGTCCTCTTAACAGGGCGGCGTAAGCAGTATAAGATCATCTGTGTGACTTAACATGGCTTACAAGTCTGTGGAGACAGAATCACATAATCTGGCTAAGAATATAGACTTTTACAGCTTTTGTTGGGTGGGTCAGATTCCATTCCGAGAACAGAGATGACTGAAAAGCCTAATCTGGCATAGTTGACCCCCTGCCATTTCTGACCTAGCTCAGCTCAGGGTGTCGAGGTAAAGCAATGCTTAGGGGTTCACAATAGACGTGGCATGATACGGGGAATGGATTTATAATGTATTAAATCTATAGCATCTAAGTTGTTCATTGAAGCAAAAGGAATAAAAATTACGTATCTGAAGAACTCCTTAAAAAAAAAAAAAGAACTCCTTATTAAAATGACCGAGATGATCAAAAGTTTTCTAAAATGGAGAGAATGCAATGAATGAAAAACAGTTTCTGAGAAACTGAGCATTTTATTGAAATATTTTAATATAACAGTTTACAGTGGATAAAAAATATCAAGTGGAACAGGATTTGGGGCAAAAAAAAGAATTTGGGGCAAACTTAAGGATGCATATTTTGACGCTACTATGAAAATCAAGTTAAAACTAAGGACAAAAGATTTCTTCCCTACCTTTTTAAAGTTTTATTTATTTGTTTATTTATTTGTGGTCCTTTTGGCTTTTCTGCTCCAATTTTACGTGAAAACCAAAAATACGAACTGCCTTTGGGCGGAGCTCCGTCACTCCTTCGGGCCTTGATGGAGCAGCCGGCCTTCCCAGGAGCTCCTGTAGAGTGGGTTCCCGGTGCTCGAAAGTGGGCCTTTTGCCCTCAGGACCAGGGTTTTTGGAATCAAGCCCACATTTTGTGTTCACTGTGTCAGCACTGTGTGGTCTGTTGTCCAGAGTGGGGACATTGCCTTAGACAGGGGTGCGCCTCCTAAGCTGTGTTGCCTGTCCCCCGCAAAAGTGCTCTGCATGTGCTGCTGACGAAATGCTCTGGTACAAGATGTGTAGTTTGGCCGAGCCTCAGTCTGTCTTTCATTGGAACGCAGCTGGCCTTTCCTTCCTCCCAGAGACACCCTGTACAAGCGCTTAGAAGCATAATACTCCTGTAAATTCAGGATTATTGTGTTGCTTCCAAGACGTAGGAGGCAAAAGTTGGTGCTATCCCTGCAAATGATTTTGACCCTGATTCAACAAAGTGTTCTGGGTTCCGCCGAACAATTTTGATTTCCTATTGTTTGGCCTATGGTTTGATCACATTAACACTGCAAGTGCCGCAGATCTTATGGATAAGGGGGGCTATTGGTGCTGCAGCAGCCGCATCATCTTCCCTTGTGCTCTGATTGGCCACACTGCTGTTCGAGCCAATCCGTTGCCTGGTGACAGGAACAGCATCTGAGCTGGTGCAGGCGAGATGCTTTTTTTTTTTTTGTATTTTTCATATGAATATGCTAAACAGAAATGTGCGGTGATTTTTACACGGTGTTAACAAGAAGGTGATGTATTTCAGAGGAGCGCGGCTGAGCTCTCCACAGGCCCTGCCTGCAAAGGCCCTGGCAGAAGAGACCCTGGGGTCCCAACGGCCCGGCCCACACCCCCTCCTGGACCCCATGCCTACCCTGCAGACTTGCCGGAAGCTGCAGCAGGAGCTGGTAATTGGATTTCATTTCCACTGGTCTTTCTGTGTCTACAGTCGCCATCCTAGAGGTTCGCCCTGAGGACCAGGAAGTCAGATGCAAGTAGACACGAAATAGTACACTAACTCAATGAGTATCTGCTTGTGAGAGTCCACTTTGTGTTTAGACACAGGGCCGATTGACTACTGCCCTATGTGGTTTTCTCTCTGTGCACAGGTGATTCCTACTGCCAGGAGCATCATGGGAGTTTTCACAGAGGAGTCTTTTTTTGTGCCCTCTCCATTGGGAAATCAGGGCTGCACGTAAGAGCGCTGCCAAGTTGTGGAGATTTTCCCCTCAGATCCCTGATGCTACGTCCAGTCTTTGTTGTTTGTTTTTTGTGGTGTGTGTTTGTTTTTGCAGCTCTGGGAATCGAACTTAGGGTTTTCACACTAAGCAGCATCCCTAGCCCTTTTTCATTTTTGAAACAGGAGCCCGTCTGTGTAAGTTGCTAGGATGCCCAGGCTAGGCTAGACTTTGTGATCCTCCTGCCTCAGCCTCCCACAGTGCTGGGATTACAGGTGTGTGCCACCGTACCTGGATCTCAAGCCCTGTTCATGCAGTGTTTGTATTAGATGCTTTCCTAGTTTAGTGATGAGTTTGTTTTCAGGGCAGGGGCGGTGATTTTAATCTCTCGTCCAGCATGTGGCGTAGTGAACGCTCGGTATTTTGCACGCCTTGGGAAGAATCAGTGCTTCCACTTTTCCTTTTTGTGCTGGTCACTGAGGCCATGCTTGGGCCCCAGCCCCTTGTATCCAGAGGGCGCTTACTGAGCTTGCTGGGCCTGTCTTGCCTGGTCAGGGCTTCTGAACCAGGAACTGGCAAGTTCTTTGTATGTCTCACCCTTGTGAGGCTAGTGACCTCTGCGAGCTGCGCCTGCCTCGGACACACCAACACATGCACACGCCTTTTCTGCTTCTTGTTGGCTGTTTCCATTGCGACCCGGAAAAGAGCCTACAGTGGCAAGGGTGAATACACCTCCTAGGCCAGCCTCAGCTTCCGCACGCTCTAAGTCAGTGCAGTGCTGCGGTCAGCTCTGCTCATCCGCCTGTCCTGGAGGCCGGCTAACAGGTGGTGTTCTCACTGATCACAGTGGGGTCCTTTTCCCTTGCTTCAAGATTCTGAACAGCTTGGAATAGCTTACTGCTAGTTAAGTGGAGAGTAACTCTACTCTAATTTGTATTTTGTGTCTTAGGTCTTATAAAACAAAAATTTTATATCAGAATTGGAATATCACACACATACACACATATATTTTAAAGACGGGATATTCTTTGTAATGCAGGCTGCAGGCAGGCCTTGAACTCTCTATGTAGTGACCTTTAACTTGCATCAGTCCTCCTGTCTCAGTCTCCCAAGTGCTGGGATTACAGATGTGTGCCATCATGCCTGGCAGAGAAATGGATTTTTATATATGAAATAGAAACAAATTTTAAATGTTACTTTCTCAGGAATTTCTGTGAATGAAATTAGTCCATAAGAGAAAGTAGGTTGGGGTGAAGACAAAACCATAGAAGATGGTATGTTTGTCAGTCTTTTTTTTTTTTTAATTTTATTTATTTATTTATGAGAGAGAGAGAGAGAGAGAGAGAGAGAGAGAGAGAGAGAGAGGTGTGTGTGTGTGGCCAGCTCAGCCCACCAGGGGGCGGGGCTGGCTGGCATGTGGTGCTGGGGGATCGAACCGCGGTCCCTGATGCTTTGCTAAGCTTGTTCTAAGTAGGTGCTTTAGACCACTGAGCCATCTCTCCAGCCCTGTCAGTCTTTTTTAATTAAACACATTAGTAAATTCACAAGCCAGAATTAAACACAAAGCACTTAGTGGATTACAAATTTGAGCCCAACGTAGGCAACTTAGCAACCTAATAAGAACTTGTGTCAAAAATACTAAATAAATTTAAAAAGGGCTGAGGATGGAGCTTCACTGAAGGCCCTGGGTTTAATCCCCAGTATGGAAAGAACAAGTCCTTTACAATCTTACCACTAGGGAGCACTACTGTCGGTAGTTATGTTCAAGTTATGTCAACTGTGAACTGCTTGGTACCTGCGGAATGCCTATGTAATGCATAGGTTAAGAAGTCAGAACTCAGTGCTGCTGGTCTGCAGTTCCATCCCCACTGTGTCCCTCAGCCTGAGGGGACAGATACTCTGATTTGCTGAAAAAGTAGCTCTTCAGGCTTTTGTGTGTATATATATATTCTTAGACCATTGCTTTATGTTTTGTCTAAACACAGAAATGGCTTAGTCCTCACCGTAGTCTCGTACGTTGCCTCTTGCCTCCACGTGCCCACAGCTGCTAGGATTTGCCTGTGCTGACGCCGTGATCCCTGCTCCTTCATTTGCTTCACTGTACAGCAGGTTCTTTTATAGGCCTGCCATAATTTTGTGCTCTTGTCAGTGGGCCCTTGCTTGGTTTCCAGCTTTACAACAGTGTCTTAAAAAATACAATAAATGAGCTGGGCATGGTGCTGCATGCCAGTGATCCCAGCACTCAGGAGGCTGAGGCGTGAGCCTTGCTTCAAGTTTGAAGCCAACCTGGGCTAGAAAGTTAGTCCAAGGTCAGCCTGAACTGCATAGTGAGACCCTGTCTTTAAAAAAAAAAAAAAAGACAAAAGGAAGAAAAAAATAGTATCAGCATGTGGTACCAGTGTGATTTGCATTGACCTTTTGATGCCCATAAATATAAATGGCACCATTTGAATGCAACTGAAAAAGTAAGGAGAGACTTAAGAATAATTTTCCTAGATCAGTGACTTTATATTAACATTTAGGATATTGGTCTCTTAGTCTGTGCTGGTTTGTATTTCTCCTTTCTTTATATCACTTGCATTTATAGTCATAATCTACCTTTTATATATTTTAATTTCTGTTACTATGGCCATAGCTGGTATTTACCATGCGTTTGCCGTGCACTGGTATGACACCAGCCATTTTTATATACTTAGGGCTCCAACAGTTTTTTTAAAAATGACTAAGCTTTGGAGATAATTTCAAGTTTACAGGAAAGTAACAAAAATAACGTTAGCTGCCCAGAGCACTTCTGTGCCCGTACGTCTCGCTGCCGGCAGCATCTCACCTCGGTTTGGGCTGCTCCGTAGGTGTGTGTAAGTCAACCTCGTTTTGCCCTCAGCCATTTGAGGGTAGGGTACATACGCTGTGACTTTCTGTGTCCTCCTACCCCAGCCTGGATTTTCTGACTCGGGATATTTCTTTGTGCAACCTGGTATGGCATGTTTGACCCTGGATCAGAGTGTCGGCTTGGAGCTTGTGCTCCAGGGGCGTCCGCTGACCCGGTGACGTCCTGCGCAGCATGCTGCAGGGCAGGGGTCTGCCTGACCAGTGCTTCCTCCACTTGTGTGTCTTTGTCTTCTCTTCTAGCCTCTTTTTTTAAACACATTTTATTTATTTTTTTTTAAAGAATACAAAACATAATAAAAAGAAAAAAACAGCATTAGAAATGATAGGAACTTTCTCTAAACAAAGTGATAGGAATTCAACAATGGTTACAGTATTGTGTGATGTTATCTTCAGATTAGTTGTTTAGGTTACCAGATGTAAACATGAAAAATTGGTTTAAAAAAACAAAACAAAACAAAAAAATTATGAGAAATTAAAAAAATAAGAATAAAAAGAAAAAAAAGCATTAACTGCTCCTTTCAAAAGATAAGCAGAAATTGACAATACAGTTATCTAAACTATCCTGCATATATACATAAGTATGTCTTTTCCTCTTTTTTCTTTTGTCCTTTTTCTCATCCCAGTTTTTCCTTCCCATTGAACAAATTTTTCCCTTCCACAGTATCTATTGTACCTTTCAGACTTTATTTACAATTTCAGGCTCTCTCTCTAGTGAGACAATATGACGTTTGCACATGTGGGTCCGATTTATTTCACTTACCAGTACAGTCTCTAGTTGCACTCACTCATCAACAAAAGCCTCACATTTATCTGTTTTATAGTTGAGTAATACTCCCTTGTGTAAAAATACCATATCTGTCTCATTCATTCTTTGGTTGATGGGCAGTTGGGTTGTTTCCAAGATTTAGCTATGACGAATTGTGCTACTGTAAACATGGCTGCACATATGTCGCTGTGCTATGATGATTTCAGTTCTTTTGGAAAAACACCTAGGACAGGACTAGCTGCCTTGAATGAGACCTCCAATCCTAGCTTTCTGAGGAATCTCCATACTGATTTTCATAATGGCTATACCAACCTACACTCCCTCCAACAGTGGAGAAGGGTTCCTTTTTCCCCACAGCCTCTCCATTTGTTATTGGTTGACTTCATGATGACAGCCATTCTTTCTGGCATGAGATGGTATCTCATTGTTGTTTTAATTTGCATTTCTTGAATAACCAATGATGTTGAACATGTTTTCATATTTTGCCATTTGTATCTCTTCCTTTGTGAAGTGTATATTCATCTCAGATGCCCATTTTTGGATTGAGTCATTGAATTTTGAAGGCTGATTTTTTTTTTCCTTGAATTTTTTTTTTATTGGCACATTTTATATATACATAGTGATAGCATTCATCATAGGGGAATTGTACCTTGCTTCAAACAATAGTTTCAAGCATTTT